CAAAATAATATAAAAAGAAATATATGAGTCTGACACTAACTTTTTAAGTGAAAAAGAAATATTACACAATCCAACACTGACTTCCTAACTGATAATTCGCCACTGAAAACCAATCCTTGAATACATCACACTTCCTTGAAAGCTCTGGAAACACTGATCTGCAAGCACCGATGAATATTTCCTCTTCAGTTCTCAGAACAAAGCTGGGCTATATTTGGCTGACCAGGTCATAAACAGTCATATATGAACATAAATAGTTTCGAAACCAGGATAGAGATAAACGATTTTTTTGTTCAGAACTAAGGAATGAACCACTGACATGACCTCATGTAGGTTTGTTTTGGTTTCAAACCCAAGGTCAAACTGTCAGCACTCCCAAAGAGTGCACGTGTCCTGCGCCACATATATGTGCCATTCGGCCAACTCCGGTTGCTGCTTGCATCATATATATGTGTCATTCAGACATTAAAGGTTAAAGCTTATATAAAATTTTACTAAAATACCATACTTTTGGCTCTGTTTTCAAAAAGTAGATGACTGTTCCCACTGACATTCATTTCAATTCCCAATATGTGATAAGAAAGTTATGTCTGACACATGCACCTTCACTATATGCAATCCTGACCAGTGTCTGGTGTTTAGAAATGAAACATGATCGTTGAAGCTGAGTGATAAAATTACCTTCAGCCTAAACACACTCGAATGTTTGATTATTCTGATATTTCACTATGACCTACTACAGCTTTGGCTGCCTCGTTGATAACAGACATTTCTTATTGCCATGTTTGCTTCACAAGTTGGAGCCCACTGTATATGAATGAACAAAAGCTATTTGTTCTTTTAAACATCGACTGCAAAAGTGCTATCTTGTACAGATTATGAAATTATCATGAAAATGATTATACTACCAGAAACATTGTTGCAGCTCCAATGGCACATTCTGTGAAGGTCTTTACAAGTATGATGTAGTTTTCAGTACGCCTTTCATGCCTCTACAAGTCGGCTGCCACGTTGGAAACATTGCAACAGTTTTCGCAGTTGTACCTCGTTTCACAATGTTGATCATTTTTGCAGCACATAGAATAGCACTGACACAGATTTTGATTTGACACTGTGGCAGTAATGTAGGAGGGATAATGGTGAGCATTCATCTTTGTTGGTGGGGCAGTTTCTGGTGGTCTGCCTAATCTCTTCTGTTATATTATATTTTGAAATTACATTTTTTTGTAAGTTTCACTTCAAATTTTGATCCTGGAAATGATGTTACTTTTTTTTTTTGTGAAATACCTATGAATTCAAACAACAGATATCACTCAAAAAACAGAAGTACTTTTGATAGTTTTTCTGGAGGTATTTTCCTTGTGTTGCGATACCTTGTCAAGTAAGCATAACAGAGGTTCACACCTCCCATCCTGGAATTATAATCAATGACTGCTTCAGGCTTCTGTGTCACTTACACTTGAACCCTGGTTGGAACCATTTTGTCGTGAATGGTACTTATAGGACAAACATGTTGTTTGTTTTTCTTCTCATTAGTCTGTCTTCATAGACTGAAACATATTCTCCCTTTTTCAGCTTTGCACTCTTTATTTCATTAGTGACACTCTTCCTGTTTTGATACATGGTTCCCATAGCATCAGTCTCTTTGCTGCACAGCTTATGGAACAGATCTGATCTTAAAAACCATGATTACACAATATCCCTAATTCAGCAGAGGGGCTATTATTGTAGAGCTAATTTTCAGCCGTATGGCTTACTTTTAGGGACTCCTCAAAAACAGTATCCTGTGCAATGTAAATAATAAAATTTCATACATAACTAGATTTTGCTTCACACAATTCCAATGATTTTATACCAAATCTAGCACGTTTTGAAGGAATGTATGCCTTCCATGACAAATGTCCCTTCCTTTTTATCAGAGAGTCATAAACTGACACATCACACTCTGAGGTATATACACTTCTAAATTTGGCATTTAGATGATCCAGTTGTGGTTTTAGTGTATACAAACTTTTTGGACTGCAAGTGGCCTCATTGCAACTTTCATTGTCAACAAAATGAAGAAACTTGAGTGGAAGGTATACCCTCCTCTCATTGGATAGGTCTAAAAGTGTTGGTGTTTCCGGAAACATCTTCTGGGAAAAGTATATCTTGTTATCCAGTTTATGGTGAAGTCCATGTAACAATGAATTCCAGCAACTTTATTATTGTCTTTCTGTTCGTCTCCTTCAAGTGATGGGTCCTAGATCATAGTTTTAGATTAGGCATGTTTTTTACATTTTTTTTGCCATACCAATTAGTTTCTCTGGCTATTACTTCCACAATTTCTGGTGTACAAAACAACTCAAAATATTCCAAGGGGTTACTGGGGTCTTCCCAATCAATATTTAGGCCAGGCTTTCCAGCAAATTGAAAATGTGATCACTCAGCACCTGCCTTTGCCCATATGCAATGCTGCATGCTACTGTTGTCATTGACATTTTCTTCTTTATCACAGCTGAAACTTTGTTCACCACATGATGAATATTTCACTTTTATTTCACAGTCACTACTGTATACGTTCTCAGAAATATCACTATATTCTTTTGTAACAGTTTATATAACACCATAAATGATACAAACTCCGTCCCAAGTGCAAACAATATATATTATATGTCTTTGATCTTGTTCTCTTCCACACTACATGTTTCGGCCTCTATCGGCCATCATCAGGTGTATACTCTTAACGTTGCTGTCACACTGAACCCAGTCTAAAATTTAACATTTAAAACACATTGTTTAAAATGTTAAATTTTAGACTGGGTTCAGTGTGACAGCAACGTTAAGAGTATACACCTGATGATGGCCGATAGAGGCCGAAACATGTAGTGTGGAAGAGAACAAGATCAAAGACATATAATATATATTGTTTGCACTTGGGATGGAGTTTGTATCATTTATTGTGTAGAGTGCAACAGGATGCTTAAATATAATATTATATAACACCACCTCATCATTCACATATTACTGGGACCTGGCATAATGTTTACTTGCAAAAACTCGAAACCAGCCAGCTATCAAGCAAGTAGCACATTCCTGTCATGCTCTAAAATAACCAGAAGGTCTAACAGGGACAATGTACAAATTTGCTTTGCTGACTGTTATTACCTCTACCGCAGTGTAGTTGGAAACATGCATGACATGTAGAGACGTCATACCCACTATGGTACAGAGTAGCACAGAGTTGCATGGAGCTAAGTCTGGCAAGTACGGTGGGTGGGGAACAACTGCCATCTTGTTTTTAGCCAAAAATTCCTGCACAATGTAAGCCGTATGCGGTCGTGTGTTGTCATGGTGGAGTACCCAGTCGTTCATGCGCCACTTCTATGTACGTTTTCTCATGTCCTCCCTCGAATGCATTAGAACATCGCGATAGAACTCTATTGACTGTCTGACCAGGTGGGACGAACTCCTTATGAACAGTCCTGTCAGTATCAAAAAAACAGATCAACATGGACTTAATGTTGCTCTTGACTTTTCAAGGTTTTTTTTGTTTGAGGTGAAGAAGGGCTCTTCCATTGTGACGATTGCTGCTTGCTTTCAGGGTCGTAGCCATAAACCCAACTTTCGTCACCAGTGACAATTTCGAAAGAAAGTTTGGATCCTGTTGAAGCTGTTGCTGAAGTTTCCTGTAGACTTCCAAGTGATGCTGCTTCTGTTCATTTTGCAGCAGTCGTGGCACAAACTTCGCCGCAATCCTCCTCATGTTCAGTTCCTCTGACAAAATTCGTTGACATGTACCATAACTTAGTCCCAAGGTGTTACAGAGGTGTTGGATGGTCAGTCTATGATCTTGCAGAATCAGATTCCTAACTTTTGCGACATTTTCTGGTGTTTTGCCTGTTGACGGCCGTCCCGAACGGTTGTCATCATCAGTCAATGTTCGTCCATTTTTAAAATCCTTATACCAGTTGTAAGTTTGTGTCTGGCCTAAACTGTTTTCACCAAAAGCGTGCTTCAACATTTGGTGCATTTCTGCAGTGGTTTTCACAAGTTTGAAACAAAAACTTTATACAGACATGCTGCTCTCTCAGGTCAGCCATCGCAAAACCGCAGACTCACGGAAACACAACAATGGAAATACGTTCACCAACAATAAACCCAACCACTCAACTCGACGCCGCTTGCCACACTGATTCAAGAAGGATGTGTGAGGAGACACCTAGGGGTATTTCGATGTACTCATAACCATTCGTGCGCAAAATTTAAATTTCGGAAACTTTTGGATTGCCCCATGTATAACTCCTGTGGTATCTACTTTAAGACTGAGTCATTCTGTGTGCTGTTTTGTACACTGGCTTGTGCATGCACACGCACACATGCTGTGAAACAGGATGCAAGCAGGAGGTGACCATTACACCAGACTGCTTTGACTAACATAATCTTGTGTCTACCTCAAGCCTAATTTATAAAGTGTAAATCATTTTGAAACCGAGTCTTCACATGCATGATGAAAGCTTCTCATTTACATGTGGGCCAAGCAGATTGAATATTTCCACAGGCTAATAAGTTTTGCTACCAGAAAATTTATAAAAATGTGTGCAATTGACAAGATTTCTTCAGACCATTGTTCCAGTGAAGTCATGTTGAAATGGCTTGTGCAAGTAATATTCACAGTTACCTTTAACGTGCAGCATTGTTGTGCATTTATCTTTGTCTTTAAAAAATTATGTGTCATGTAAACATGTGTGTCTTCCACAGTGAATGATTGTTAAAAGTTAATGGACTGTTTGTTGATATACATGATGTACTCTCTTGACTTTTTATGCTGTGTATAAACATAAGATTTGCATATTAACACATCATTGCTTGTTCATAAGATGGGAGAAGTTTGCTACATTATCTGATTTAGGCAAGGAAAATGTGATAGCTGTCTTGGCACTGGATGTAAGGTGATTATATCATATGCATTATCAGTACATATTTTATAAAACAAATTTTCATTATGTGTTTGGTTTCAGTAAGAAAGATCCTGATGTATTACCAAAAGTTGTGGCAAATTTGTCTATGCTACTACAAGATTCTTCAGTCCAAGTTCAGAAACGAGTCATTCAGGCGGCAAGCCAGGCAAGTGATGAGAGGTTGTATCGGAGGAACACTTTTCTATGTCTTTATCAGGTTTAAGTGTCAATTATTATTCTTGTAGGTATATCGTGGGGCATTAGCTTGGCTTGCTAAAGCCCGGGCCATCTCAGAAGAAATGGAAGCAGCATGGGCTATGATGGGGAGTATCAAAGCACAGATTGTAAATATGATTGATAGTGATAATGATGGGTAAGTATCATTCTCCTCTCACTAGGATTTCATTTTCTCAGACCTGTACAGTAAATTTTCATGTCTGTCATTAAAACGTCTGTAACAAGAACTCCTTTCTTTAACACTTTTGAGTGTAGTGGCATTTAATTATCTCAGTTGCTCTGTGCCAGGCAGGTTTAAATGACAGTAAAGAAATTGTATCCATTTTTGTACAAATATGAAATCTTAACATTCACATAACAAAATTTATATCAGTAAGGTAAAAGTAGAGTTCGCTCTTTTCTTGATTTATTGAGCACTGTGCCATGATGACATAAAGGGGAGTTGAGGTGTAGCTCCACCATTCCTAATCTCAGCACTAGATGGAGGTGAGTGGTCAGCTTCACACCCCTTCTGCTTTACCCCTAGGGAAAGAGTCTCCAGTACTCACTGGGTAGGAGGCTGGGTGGGCTTCCATGCCAGTCTATATGCTATGGAGTAGAGACAAATCTTTTACCAGTGTTGGGAATCAAACCCCGGCCATGCATTCCATAACTCATCGTTATACTGACTGACCTGTCCCACCTCATTTATGTCATCAGAGGAAAGCATTATGGTATTCACATTTTGTTGCAGAATGACTTTCAGTGCTACACATATGTAAAGACATTATTGTTCTTCTGAAAGAAATTAGTTCCAGTAATTTACATTAGTGCAATTAATCTCAAGACACTCACCGAGACAGAGCTGTGTACACTGTAGTGAATATTCTGGCCTTCCCAGTCTGAAGCTTGCCTCTTGTCTGTACAAACCATATGCTTAGCATCACATATTTCTCTGCTGGGTCTTTCCTGACTGCTTTGATTGTATTGCTAATATCCTAAGTACAAAATTTTCTCTGCCAAAAAGTCTTCCTACAAAACTTTCCCATGACTGCTTCATGATTTATGCTTTCACATCACTCACTAAAGTTTCAGTAACCTTCTCCAGAAATTTATACTCTCTGAATTTCAGTTTGCCCCTCATTTGATGCAAAATTCATGCATTTACTCTGATATAGTCTAACAGAAGAAAGAAAATTTTGTTTTCCTTGACTTCAGAGATTTTCTATGAAGAGAGTAATATCTGATGTGATGACACTGGCCTTTTGTTTGTTGAAAGATCACTGAGGGTGGTTTTGTTCTCTTGTAGACTTTTCTTGCTGGTCTTATAATGTGCTGCACTTCGTATGTACGCTTTGCAAAGTGATTGTCTCTTTGCATGTAGAGTTTTTAAATCTTTTTTCAACTTCTTTGCAAATGTTTGTTTCTTTTTGCCTAGTCATTGAAGTCCTAAATGTTTTTGATTCCAGTCACCAAATATGGTCAACAGGAGTAGGACTTGGGGAACCATTTGTCCATATATAGTGCATACCATATATTTTTATTGGTTCACAGATTCTGTCTGCAGCACTGAATGAGCCATTATGCTTTCGATTAGTGAGTGGGCACCAGCATGCATTTCAGAATAATTGACATGTCCCATTTTGGCTTCACATAATCCAAATATTTTCATTGCATATTTATGTGGCCTTTCTTTCATATGAAGGGCATTTCAGAGCTCTGTGGCCCAACTTTATGAGGTTTTTGAGGAAGTTATTTGGGGCAGAACATGTAAATAAATTGTTCATTTCATCACCCTTGTCAGTTTAAAATGTTTCATTACTTATTAAGAAAATGAAATAACTGTTCATTCTTGTATACATTTGGTTATTATTTTTTAACATCTATCTGTTACTTTTGTTTACAATGAATAAGAAACAAAGATTCCAGAGTTAATACCTGCCTTCAGTATGAAATTTACATTATGATTAACACACATTTCTGATTATATTATGGTCACTGTACAGAGTTCTACATATTTCTTCTCAAAAGAACTTAAAATTACCGCCAGTTCACACATTGGCTGCATAGAGATGTCAGTTTTCTGGATCGACCCTTAATGTCTTATGCAGCTACCAAGATACAGTTGATCAGGTCCTCACAGTCTCATACTCCCTTAGCCTAAACGTTTCCTTTGATGCATCCTTATTGAGTTCTGGAGGCCATATTGCTGAAGCCTAAAACCAGTCTGTTTTCACAGAAAATGGTTGTTCAACTAATTAAGCACTTAGTGTGAAAAGTGTTCGACACATGTTATTTTGCTGAAACCATGTGTCCTCATAAACATGAAGGGGTACATCTTCCAACAAAGGGGGAAATGCTTTTTCATCGAAATCATCATACTGGATTCCTCAGATACTTTTGCTTATCATGTAAGGCTGGGTTATGTAATAATCCAAAATTCTAACCCACACATTGAACATCTTCATTGAAATGATGATAGCACAAAGATTCTTCACTACCCATTCATGTGGGTTGTAGAGATTATTTACTCCACTCCTTCTGTATGTTGCCACATCAGTCCACAGTTCACTTCACAAGAAGTCAGGTTATTCAACAGTTTTGTGTAGAAGCCATTACAGAACTGGCAGTGAAGGTTACTGTTCCCTGGCTGAAGCTCTTTTGTCAGTTGTACATGAAAAAGGTGCAGCCACTTATACAGTGTATACCAGACTGCATCCTGAGAGAGGCCTGATTCATACGTGATCACACAGGTCTTATTTGATGGATTTATCAGGTAAAGCATCAAACACTCCCCTTTCATTATGCAGTGTCTGCTGCTTCCAATATGTACTGCTGACATGAATGCATCTGCTTCCCTCAGACTACAGTGTACGAGGTGCTACCAGAAAGTTCCTGGACTGGTATTTTTGTAACTGTCTTGGCAAAAAAAATGAGAGGGGAGGCCAAGGCCACACTTCTGCAAGCCTATTGCATCACTCTGCCATGTGACACTGCACTGTGAACACACATTGTTTTTACATGAGTGCTTTTTTGACTTCGTGTTTTGTTTTGTCTGTGATGGATGGAAAAATTGAGCAACATATCTGCGTCAAGTTTTGTGTGAAGCTCTGTAAATCTGCTGCTGAAACCCTTGAAATGCTTTGTGAGGCTTTTGGAGAACATTCTTTAAGCTGGACAGCTTGTTTTGAATGGCATTCATGATTCAGGGATGGTTGAGTGTCAGTTGAAGATGAAGAATGTTCAGGGGGACCAAGCACCAGCAGAATGACAGAAAATGATGAAAGAATTTGAGAACTCATTCATGAAGACTGGCCAAAGTCCTTCAGCTCACAGACTCTGTTGGGATCAGTTATTGAGTTTGCCAGGAGATCTTAACGCAGAATTTGAATATGCACTGCATTGCTGCAGAGTTTGTCCCCCAGTCAAAAGCAGCAGCACATAAATATGTGTCTTGAACTACGAGAGAAAGTTAACGAGGACCAAACTTTTATCTCTGGGATCATAATGGTTGATAAAAGTTGGATTTATGGTTATGATGCAGAAACAAAGCAACAGTCATCATAGTGGAAGAGCCCACAGTCTCCAAGAGCAAAAAAGGTGCAGCAGGTCTGGAGATCAACAAAGCGCATGCTCATTTTTTTTTCCAACATGAAGGGGATTGTACACCATGAATTTGTTCCTTGTAACACTATGGTCAACTCTCACTTTTGCTGTGACATTTTGAGGCGCTTGAGAGAAAATGTGTGACAAAAAAGACCAGAAGTTTCGCACAACCACAACTGCCTCCATCACGACAATGTGTCCACCCACATATCCCTGAAAACCAGTTTGTGACTAACAACAACATGGTTATTGTTCCCCTTGCTCGCTACTTGCCAGACTTAGTCCCCTGTGATTTTGCTTTGTTTCCCAAATTGAAAATGGAACTGAAGGGATGACAGTTTGAAAGAGTGTCTGACATCCAAAGGGAATTGCAAGTGGTACGGAACAGTATTAAGGAAAATGACTTCCATGGTGCTTTAGGAACTTGGAAAAAGTAAGGGGATTGCTGTGTACATTCCCTAGGAGACTATTTTGAAGGCGATTGCCACCAAAATTGAGTTATTTTGAAGGAGATTGCCACCAAAATTGAGTAAGTTTTTTGACCTAGTCTGGGAACTTTCCAATAAACCTCATATCATTGCAAGTGCGTCTTTTGGGTTGACCTTGATTCCGATACAAACACTGGTGTTCTCTTGATGGAGGTCTGTCATTTCCATCACAGGAGCTATATATATAATCCACATGAGCATACTCAGCATTAGTAAATCATACCATTTATTATGCTTTTATCACTGCTTTGCCATTGGAAGTAATGTGATTGATAAGCAAGTGCAGTATGAACTCTGTCTTGTAATGTTGTGAAAGCTTCACTGCATGAACATAACATTGTGGGAATTTGTTCATGTGGGTGTGTGAATGAACCTCCAAATGCAGGCTTTAACCTTTAAGTGACGGCCCTTTAAATTCCGGTAATGGCAGCGGGACGGATTTGATTTAAATACCCACAATTTTAAAGCAATAAAAACTGTAATCATTTCCTAAAATTGCTGTGATTTCTACAATTTTTGTGATAAACGAACCAAATAAACACTTGTTTTTTTCTAGGAAGAATATAGAATCAGATATTGTAATTTACAGACTTTATAAAATGTGTAAAAAATTTTAGACTGATTCCAAGTATAAAATTCCCAAATTTGTAGTCTGTGTACAAGAATTCATACAGTTCTTGGAACTAAGAATGCTGTATGTAGATGTGGCAACACAGCGGATGGTTATGTAGACATGTTTAGTCTTGCATGTCTCGAAGCTTATTCATGTACCTTCTTTCGGTATGCAGAGATACACGCCCAGTGTATCTCTTCGCGTATAAGAACGTTGATTGTTTATACACAACAAGTTCTCTGTTCTGACCCTGCTCGGTTAGTTTATCAGAACTCTCAAGGCTATCGTCTTTATACCACAGCCAAGCAGTGTCATGCAGCTTCAAAGTTTTGCAGTGAGAACAGTGATATTGTCAGCTCACCATGGTGTCATCTCGTTTGGAAGATTCAGACTTTTTTCAACTCATAAATGACTCCGAATCAGATTGTTTTACCGACAATTCTGAGAGTG